GAATCTCTTTAGCTTTACATCCTTCGGTCACCATAAAATGTGCATAGTCAAAATCCATTGCAGATCTATTAGGAATGAACCTGTCCCACTACATAAAAGCAACCCAAAAGAATTCAGTAAGTCAATTATAACCCAAAAGAATTCAGTAACTCAAATTGAAGGTTTCAAATGGTAACCATATCCTCGATGAACTTATCATCCAACAACCCAAATAAAATTGGAATAAGGTTACTTAATGAATTTCAGAATTAGATACTCCCTCCGTCCCAAATTATTTGTCACATTTCTATTACCGAGGCAAAATATCAAGTTTTTTCAATTCATTTTATTTACATATTGGTAAAGAAATAAAAAATAAAAATTACATATCAAAAAACTACATGCAAAGTTCTTCGAAATAAGAGGTGTCAAGAATATTTTATTTTATCAAATAACCAATGAAAAAGTAGAAATAAACAAAAGTTCCCGCGACTGTTGAAAAAGCAAATGTGGCAAATAATTTGGGACGGAGGGAGTACATAAAACCAAAGTGACAATGAAATTTAGATCAACTGCCCAGATGGAAGAACAGAGACCTTTTTCATGGGATATAGACCAGTTTGCATCAAATGTCTAGATGAAATTTACATCAATTCACGGAGGGTAGAGATGACATACATTTTCATGGGAGCTTTTTCTCTGACGATACTGCTCCTGAAGAGGAAAACAACTGGATCCAGACATGTTCGATGCCATAGAGTTTCTTAATCCTGCATCCATCACGTTAATAACACACAAACAAAAAAATAAGCGAAAAACAACAGCTGTAAACAGAAATATATATTCGGAAAGAAAAGGGCTTGCAAAAACAATATTAGACCGTTAAGAGATCAACAAAATTAATCAAAATTGAATGTAGAATAAAGAACGACAGAGATTCAAAGTATCAAGATTGAAGATCGAGAGCCTTTGGGAGATCGATTGAGAACAGATTCAATGTAGCGAGCGAGAGCGAGAGAGAGCAGAGAACGGAAGGGGATTGAGAATGGTTCGCTTCAAACTGTTCTAGGGTTATATTGACGCCGTTTGGCAAAAAAGAGTCGTTGTAATTTGCTTGGACTAAAATGCCCATCCGAGTCAGGGGGGTTCCAGCAACTCTATGATTTGGGAAAGGAGCTCTTAATTA